TGCACATCTGAAGGCCAAGCTTTTTCATTTGACTCCTCATTTAGGAGGAACAATTATAATGGGTTTATGTATGTACATTAGACTGCATCACCAAAAAAAGTTGCGGTTTTTCCGCCGGGATAACAAAATTTATTATATTTTAAGACGTTCACCAAAATATTTGGGAAAAATATTAAGATTTAAGTGAGCTGGACCGATTTGAAAATACCTCCAAAAATGAAGTTTTTTATGAATAAAAATAGTTTCGTAAAGAACTTTTTGAAAAAAGTCCCTCAGATGACAAAACAGATTAAGCTTAAAAAATCTGCATAAAAATATTTAAAAATCTTTTCAACGGAATCGTAAAAATGAGATTTTTGATGCTGTTTTTAACTTTTTCAAAGTTTGATTTACGAAAAACTTGAATAACTGGGCTAAAACTATTCTGATTTAGACTTATGGGATCTCAGTAGAAAGGTATTTTCACACTGTTTTTATTTCTGTCAAAAAAAAAAAATCATTCGTGTCCCATTTTTTTTTTTCAAATACCAACACATCTTAATTCATCGTTGAATGACGTTCGTTCATCCTACCTTTCTCTTTCATCCTTTGAATGAGTTTATTAGCAAAGAAATAAAAAGGGTGAGAAAATACCTTTCCACCGACAGCTCCTAAGTCTAAATCATAAGAGTTTAGGCTCAGTTATTCAAGTTTTTCTTATACCAATCTTTGAAAAAAGTTAAAAAAAACAGCATCAAAAATCTCATCATTACGATTCCGTTAAAATTTTTTTTAAATATTTTTATACAAATTTTTTAAGTTTAACCCGTTTTGTTATTTGAGGGGTTGGTTGGTTGCAGTGCTTCCTAGTCGCTGCCCAGGACACAATTAGCGCATTATTGCACCATTTTGATGTACTTCTCGCGGGGGATAAATATTTTGTCTATGCACTTCCTATGTTGCTAGGTCGAACCATTTCGACTCTCTAATGAATCTGCCGATTTCGCTAATGGTAGCTCCTGATAGGTCGGTTAGTTCTGCTACTAGATGTTTCCCTAACGTCTTATGTCTAATGTTCGAAAGGCCTGGACATTCACACAGGAAATGCTGGACACTTTCTTCGCTATCTTCTAGTTGACAGCTGCGGCAAATCATATTATGGGGTAGACCTATTTTTGCCGCATGTTTGCCTATGGGCCAGTGGCCCGTGATGGTTGCTAAAATTCTAAATACCTCTGGCCTTGATCTGCTAAGCAGGTTCAAGGTTTTCGCCCTGTTATAGTCAGGCCATAGTTTTCTCGCTATCTTACAAGTCTGTATATCTAACCCCCTGCGTCTAGCCAGTTCAAGGAAATGCGTAGTAATCTCTCTTTGGACTACTCCAAGAGGGCAACCCAGTGCCACTGCCTGGGATTCATCCAAACCGGCTCCTGCCTTCGCCAACTCATCCGCCTTCTCATTGCCTTCTATGTTCCAAGAGAGACGGTATTAGACTGAGACACTGAGCGCAATATTACTTTGCATTCCCCAACTAGCTTAGATTTGGTAACCGGTGACGCTATTGCTAATAGCGCCGCCTGGCTGTCAGAGTATATTGTTGCTTTACTGCTGTGTCCAACTCTATTGCCTAGGATTATGCAGGCTTCTAGGATCCCTAGGACTTCCGCTTGGAAGATGCTTGTATTATTTCCCAACCGCAGAGACAGAGCCACGCCGAGTTCCTTGGAGTAGACACCTGCTCCCACACCGCAATCCATCTTGGATCCATCGGTGTATAGAGAGATCTTCTCTCGGTCGGCCACTCGGTCTCTTCTCCAGTCCCTTCTGGATGGGAATAGAACTTGCACGTTACAGCTGTAGTCCAAATTGCGTACCATGTAATCTGTCGTCCTATTTAATTGCATTTGATTTATGATCAACCCATGTCCGAAGTGTCTAGTCCTCCAAAGGCCCGACTTTCTGAGTCTGACCGCCGATTTCATAGCCACTTCTTTCAGGTGGAGATCAATAGGAATTAAATTGAGGATGGCATTTAAAGCTTCTGCCGGGCAGGATCTTAGTGCGCCTGATACTCCTGCGCTTGCTGCCCTTTGTATGCTTCTTCATTTGAGGGGATTTTTTCAAAAAAAATTTTTAAGAAACTATTTTTATTCATAAAAAACTCCTTTTTTGGAGGTATTTTGAAATTGGTCCAGCTCACTTAAATCTTAATATTTTTTCGAAATATTTTGGTGGACGTCTTAAAATATAATAGATTTAATAATTCCAAAGGAAAAATAGTACAGATTTTTTTTGTATGGGGAGTGATGCAGTCTAGTGTACTTACATACATACATATGTATGTAGTAGGGATCTCGGGATCCTGGCCTTTTTTAGGTGCCGAAAACCACGGGATTCTTGGCAAATAATCATGGGATTTTCGGGATTTGTAATTTGCACTGATGTCAATAATAGAAAC